TATGTTAGCTGCGTCGCAGAGTGTACACAGCGTAAGTAGTGTACGTAGCGAACATAGTGTAGCGCTCTGTGTGGCCGAATCTTTACAGAAGCTTAGCACACGTACCAATATACAGTCTCAAATTAATCCCTTGTCCAAAAGTGACCTGAATTTCTCGAAGTCTGGGAAATCATGAGAACTGAGCGAGAGAATTTTTTCACTGAAATTCTGACTGAAACTGTCCGTGTTCTCGCTAGGCAAATTCTAGCACATTGCATTTAAACAGGCCATGCTCTCTCAATTCAGAACTCTTGCTGCAGTTCATTCACGGTCATCTTCTCGCCCCATTCGACGACATGCACTTCTATACCTGAAATACCTTCGTTAATGGTCCAGGAATCACAGATAAATGGAAATAATAAATTAATTTTAAGTTAAGATATCTTCATGGCGGCGATTATCATTATTAACGGTCTTCTGAACTGTGCCATCCTGCAAGCTTGTAGGTGGATACCGATTTTTCGTAGAAATATCCTGCTTCCATCTTCAGGTCTGAATTATATAGGTTCAGAAAGAGGCTGAAGTAGTAAGGCGGGTTACAAGGAAGCTGATCAGAAGATCCAGGGAGAAGGGATATTCCATTTCCCACCTATGCGAAAGAAAAAAACACTTTACGTGTTAGAAGGGTCGCTTTCTGCCCATAATTCCCAAGGCCCGGATCGGGCATCTTGGTTTACCCCCTGTCCTTAAGCCTCATGATCACATTCCTTGCAACATGCTTACGTAACTTAGTCAATTCCTGGAACTATACACTTGAACCCTGAAGATGGAGGCATCATATGTCTCCGAAACGTCAACATCCTTACATAAGACTCCACGGTGTCACAGTCCAGAATACCATAATGCGAAAGAAAATGCAATCAATGACAAGAAAGTTTATAGTTCTGTGTTTCAAGGACATGCTTATATTCCCCGAAAGTGCAGAGAAAATTCAGAAGTTTCTAGAGCGAATATACGAAATGTCTGTTATGTACGTAGTATCCTCGCCTCTGCAGCTTTTCAGCCTTTCTGTTATAAAACGCTTTGCTGAGGTTTATGGAGACCCCGCCTTGGTGTTTATTTGGGTGGGTATTCGGGTGAGATTGTATACACCAAGCTGCTTCGGAGGCAGTTGATGTGCCTTGCACCAGTCCCTTCGACGGAAATGAACATACATGTACAGGATCATTACTGGAATGGATTATTAATACACAAAGTATTGCAAATGGCTGACTTCTTTCGGACTAATAGACGGGTTGCATTTAACCTTCCACGCCTCATCCCACCGTATTTGCTTTTACTGAGGTGACGTGGAATTGTTTCTTATTCAGAACACACTGCGGAACTCAGGCATGTTCCTGTAAGCCTTACAGCAAATTCAGGGGAACATTTCATGAATCAGAATCTTTGAAATTGAAAAGCATTCGTGTTCTTCTGGAACAGCGCTTGTCCTTGTACATGTGCATATTCCCATTTTGGAAACGAACTTTCCGTATGTTGTCAGTATACAACGTGAGTGTATTCCAAACTCATGGCATAGTTCCGGTTATTCATACCATGACTCTTAAATTACTTTTGTAGCAGAGGAAATTTCATCTTTCAGTGATTGGAAATCTAAACAAGGCAAGTGTAAGATTTGAGGTTTTCCCGGCGGTAACTGTGAAGAATGTCGTCTTCTGGGCTGTGGTGCCGTGTGGTGCTGCAGCCAACTGCTCACGCTGGTTCCTCGTTCTCAGATATTTTACCCTGAAGATGGAGACGATACGTTCCTCCGAAACATCGGTTTACACAATACCTACACGGCGCCACATCCCAGAAAATGTCATTCTTCTTAAAAACGTAAGTTTCTTTTCCCATTGCGGCAAAAATAATTGATGTAACAAGAATATGTTTCATTAAAAACATCAGGAAATCTCTCATTAAGCGAAAATACTTATGTATTGATTGCATAACTCATAATGCAATTGTTTCCTTTTTGACCTTTTCCACCATCATGTTTTTTATTTAAATCAATTTTTCGGATGTAAGATTTGAGGCTTTCACGGCGGTGACTATGAAGAAAGCAGTTTTCTGGGATCTGGCACCGTATATATGTGGTGTTAACCGACGTTTCGGAGGAACGTATCGCCNCGGATACTTGGCTCCGTCTCACACCTCAGGCGAAAGCTACTCAGTTGGGCACAACTCAGATGGACTTAATCTGAGGACGGAGACAGATGCCAGTCTCCAATTTGTTGCTTTTAAACAGAAAGGTGGATAACGTTCACAAGTCAATAACTTTATTAATATAAAATCGTCACAAATTTTAAGAACTCATTAACTCGTACTATACTAATTATAATTAAAGTAGTAAATTTTGTTAGCGACAGTTGGGTTTATATCTCGTAAAATCAGCCATACTGAGAGAAATATAAATTTCAACCAGGAATTCCGTTTAATATTACTAAGTGCATCTAAACCCCGTCCCCATCCAACTACAGGTATTACAATAGACCTGCTTGAACACAACCATCTTACGCAACTTCATGATATAATTAATCTAAAACACAAATCAGTGCTTTATCTGCTTCATCATAACATGCATATTACAAGCAAGATATAAAGACATGTAAAAGTTAGTCATATCATGTGAAATAAAGGTTAATAAGCATGAACGTAAATAAACGTACGGATGTAATAAACAGTGTAAAACAAACCTTGTAATATAGTCCATGCAGCAACGTTTAAATTCATGCATCCTGCGTTCCACGTTTGAATGAGATCAACACCTCTTCTAATGTTCCATTTTGTTGTGCATTAGCAATTAGAATACAAAGGATGACAGACGAGATAGTAGCGAAAGGAACAGAAATAACTTCTAAGCTCAGATGAGCAGAGAAACGTGCGTCAGAGAACCCGTAAGTGAAGAATGGGAATGTGACCATAAGCCAAACCGCGCATGTATCCAGAAATATGTAAAAGAGGGCCATACATAATTCTAAAAACTTGCTTCGTAAGTGATTAATTGCGGTCATTGCTGTAGAAGAGCATTTCTAATTTTGGATGGATGCATTATTCTTTCTATAAAGTCATCCTTACTAGGAAAGAGCAAGACTCTTTGGTCTTAACAAAATTTCTCAAACTTCATTTCGACGTTAATAAGCTCTTTGATCAGTACTTTTTTTCCCCTTTAGCGCTACAACTATAATTTGCTCTACATTGGCCCACATCCATGTAAATCTCCGATTTACTACGGTTTATTAGATCTTGTACATTCGGTAGGACTCCTTGGGCGGGTGATAAGCTCGTCGTAAGATCTCTACTTATACACAAATATAGAAAAACGCGCATACACTCATACAAACACTGAACATTCATTCCCTGGGTGGGATTCGAACCCACGATCCCGGCTTCCGGGTGAGCAAAGACAGTGTATGTCTTCGACAGCTCGGCTACCGTGACCGGCGCTTGATCAGTACTGTGTAATTAAACTACTAATGTGACATTTAAACGACAGAAGTAGGTTTATGGACAAATTCATAAAAAGTAATTCATGAGCAGAACGGTGGGAAATATAAATTACTTCATTGCTGTATAAATCTGAGTAGTGTAACAATATTATGAATATAGATGTCTTAAAATTAAACTGAATAGAGGTATCGTAGTTGGTTGAGGCATTATGCTAGAAGCCTGAAGGTTGCGGACTCAAATCCCGATGAGGTGATTGGATTTTTTTCAATTTACCTAATCCTTGCAGCCACACTATGACCCTGGGGTCGACTCAGCTTCTAACAGAAATGAGTGCCAGGAATATTATTGGAAAAATCTTGGGGGTAAAGGGCAGCCGGAGCGTAGGGCTGACAACCTTGTCGCCATCTATAAGCCGATTGTCTAGAAAATGTGGGAACCTCAACATCTCACAGCCCTATCGGTCTCCACGGTCTGTTACAGGGATTCAGTTATTCAGTATTGAGGGGGTGGGTTTCCCCATGCACCGCGACTGATAGTCTATTGTACATCCTCATTTTAATTTCTACAGTCTCCATCCCCTACCGGTACTGGTGCTTACTATTAGTCCCTTTCTGGCAGCCAGGTTCCAACCTTCTACTGACAGTGGTATCTAATAGTTAGTCCCTTTCTGTCAGAGGGGTCCCCCTCCTCTGGCAGGCATTGGAAACTACTTTGGGCGGGAAATTTTTTGGACAAATTTTGATCAGAGGTCTCCTAGAGACATGAGGTTCTTTTACGTGCCGTAAATCTACGACACGGGACCCACGACTTAAAGTCCCTCCCGGAGTACTTGTTCCCTTAATTTTACCGCCCTTAAAAATTCCACGACCTCCGCCGGGTTTGAACCCGCGTACCTTGAGTCATGAGGTGGGAACGTTACCCCTAGACTATGGAGGTCGCTTCTGTTACAGGGATAGCTTTGCTCTTTTACTTTTTGCAGTATTATAGGTTTTTCCAATAAATCTACCTTATTATTATTTCATATTTTCACGCTTTCAAAGACAACAACGAACTTGAAACTTAACAGGCCTAACAATTTGGAATAACTTGTTTCGGCATGATGTGGAATAAACTGAAAATGCTAAACAGGCCTGTATTCAGTAACTGTAAAGTCATATGAGAGAAAATGCTGACGTTTACCGAGTTTCGGTTCCTAACACTGCAGGCCATTTAAGAACGGAAAGGCTGTATGGGACTGAGTAGTTTTATAACGAGCTCATTAATACAGAACAGGCGACAAGTACTGCTCATAGAAGAGCATAAGAAAGAAACGTACATTACAGCATTCTAAAGTATGCTCACATGCTGAAGGCCATACAAACATAATATTTAAAAGCATGAAATTAAATAATGACATTAAAACTGCATAGTGTAATTAAAGACGAAAATATGTGAGGTCAACAGAAGCATATGTGTAAGTCGTAATATTTAGAATCAAAAATACAGAAACTATCTCAATGTGTGTACATGTGTGCTCGAGAGCGCTCTCTTACCTTGTATACTGGCCAGTGTGACAGGAGGAAAGACGCAAGCTATCCTGCAACAGTAGAAGTGAATCGCGTATTAACAGAATAATGGAGCTAATTATATTTAAGTATAGGCCTACATCTTTCTCTCCGGCCTCAACTGTTAAGGCTTACTGAAAGCGCAATTTTATCAGTATTACAATTCCATGTTCAATAAAAATATCAACAAGAAAAATATTGAAGGAATATGTATGTGTCTCTGCAGCTTTGTTGGACTTTGGCCGTTTTTTTTTAATTCTTAATCTTTTACACTGTCGGTAGAACTCCTTGGACAGGGGATCAGTCCGTCGCAACTCCTCTACTTGCCCACAGGACAGCACAAACAAAGAATAAATGCACACAGACATCAATACCTCGAGTGAGATTCGAATACACGATCTCAATGTTCGAGGTGGCGAAGACAGTTCATGCCTTAGACTCCACGGCCACTGTGGTCGTCACAGAGGAAATATATGAGATGACGATAAAGTACTATACTTGGATTGCCTATGATATAACAATTACATATAAATAAAGAATGCATTGTTCAAACAGACAAACCAATTTCAGAAGATATTTTCTCGAATGAATCAGTTTCATAACAATTCCATTAAATCTGCGGACACAGTAAACACATTTTCACATAAAAATGATGGCATTATGGTAGGGTAAACTGGAAACGGATTGTTAATTTATGTGATATGAATACTCAGTTCGTTTCCACTTGGTAAAACAAATTTAAATTAAAGAGATGGGAATTATGTTCAAATGAATAAAATTATAATAATATTATGCATAATAGGCATGCATGTCTCTGTTAATTAATTTATTGGCCCAAAGTACACATTAAAACATTATAAAGGAGGCATAAAATTCTACTACACTCCAATAAAGACTAACGTTTCGAAGTGAAAACAGAGAAAATTAATAGTACATTAATGAATCTTCGCGAAAATGAAGGGTGACGCAGAAATTTAAAGGCATTTCATATGGAAGTGGGTTAACAATATTTCCACCGTAGGACTGCGAGACGTAGAAGGCGATGGAAATGGAATCCGGTGACTGGGCCACTCTGTCACTAGGTGATAAAGTTCGTACAGGGATCTGAACCTCCAGATTGTGGTTTGAAGACATGGCTGAATACTTTACTCGGAAAAAAAAATGTTGTGAAATCTAACGAAGTGAAAACCGGGTGGTCTAGAGATAAGTCTGGCAGGTTATTCTATGGAAAGCTAAGGCTCAAAGTTGACTGTTTTGTCCCTGATGATGACGATGATAATTGTGATAACATGTGATTTAAAAAGATGTAGAATTCCAAGCATTTAAAGCTAAAGTAAGCATCAAAATTACGCTCATGAAGAAATTAAGAAAAGATTTGTTCCGGGAATGCTTACAAGTAAGCAGTTCAAAATGAATGCCTTCACGTCTCCTATGTTCTGTGTGAGAGGCCCACTTCGTCCCTCGCCTAAGAATAAGAATATAATTACAGACGTACTTTGTAGAATACTTGGAATTAAGAGGGAGGATAAATCAGGAGGCTTCATAATCTGTCCTGTTCATTAGATATTATCAGGGTGATGGGTTAAAGGGCCGGTCACGGTAGCCGAGCGGTCTAAGGCATGTACTGTCTTCGATCGCTTGGAAACCGGGATCGTGGGTTCGAATCCCACAGAGGGCATGGATGTTCAGTTTGTGTGTGTAGGTTTTTCTGTGTTTGTGTACAGGTAGAGGCCTTGCGACGAGCTGATCACCCGCCCAAAGAATCCTACCGAAAGTGTAAGATTTATAAAAACCGAAGGGAACGGAGAAGTTCATGGACGTAGGCCTAGGCCCACTGTGGCTGTAGTGTCAAGAAAAAAGAAAAAAAGATGGGTTAAAGAAGAAACAAATGTGAGGGCATGTAACACGCACTGCAGCTATGAGATACACACGTTGTGACGTATAGACCCATTGCTAGGCAACTACTTGGTAAACACATTCTTTCGGGAGCCAACGCTAGAAACAACATAACGTCTATTGCTAGGCAAAAGATCAGTAAAACGCCTTCTTAACTTTACAGATTTGTTTTCTGCGTGGTCCGCTCAAAGTGGTTATAAAGAAGTCTTCAGCAGTATAGAGTGAAGTAAAGAGACGAGTTGAAGGATGTCAGCCTGCCGGAATATGAACCTGAGAGCAGAGGAATTGATTTGAATCGAGTCTTCGGAATTTTCAGCTACAGAGTAATGGCAAGAAAGGAATTAGGCTGTGAAAATAAGACTCCATGTTTGATTTGAAGTGACAGTGAGACTGTTATAAATCCGTTGCCAGGCTGAAGAGAGTGAACGCTAGTGCATATGTAACGGTGAAGTGTGGAGTGTGGAATTAACGGCAGAGCTTTTTTGCCTGTAGTCCCGACTTGTGTGTCTGAGGTGTCCATAAATATAATCATGCAATCCAGAATCCGTCTTATAAGTCAAGCGCCCCTACACGTGACAATATATATGTTTGATTGGAAAAAACGTACCTTTAAGAAGGAACTACGTGTAATACATGCGAGCAGATTGGGGGTTTGTGTTAAAACGGAACTTAGAGAAATATGTTATGAATATAGGAACTGGGTTCAAACGCCTGATGCCATGTTGCAGAGGCACGCTGTTTTGGTCATAACCCTGCTAATGAAATTTTCCTTTTATAAACTGCAGTAAATTTCTTGAACAAATCAGTGACTTCTGACGTCTCAAATAAAACTATTCTATAGAATTATTTAAAATACTGCTCTTCAAACACCGAGTCGGATTTCGATTCCCGATAGCATCAAATATTATCTCTTCTCCATGTCGTCCAGACCGGCTCTAGGGCTCACCCAGCCTCCTATCCAATGGGTACCGGGGGCACTTTCCCTGGAGGTAAAGCGGCAGGGGCGTGAAGTTGACCACTCAGCTCCAACTCGTGCCGAGTTCAAGGAAAAGTGGATCTATACATCCACTCCCCCATACGTCTTCGTGGTGTAGTGCTGAATATGTTCAGCACAGGAAGAAATTTTATCGTCCTTCAAACACCGGAGGGTAAAGCTGAACATTCACCCACATCTAGCGACGAAAGTTAAGGTCGACTGGTGCTCTACCGCCGCTCACTCATACTTCTTCATAGATCGGTTCTAGTTTAACTAAAAGCACAACTTTAACATTACAGCTCAGTCAGAATAGCGGTTAGAACAAAGGCTGGACGACCATCGGATGGAGAGTCGATTTCAGGAAGGAACAGGAATTTTTCTATTCTCCACAGCTCAAAAATCGGCTCTGGAGCCTACTGGATCAGTGGGTAAGAGGGCTCTTTCCAAGAGGAAAAGCAGTCAGAGCGTAACTTTAACTACCAACCCCCATTTATGTCCGAGGTTAAGGATGCGTATTCATTGTCAAAATAATCGAACTGATGTACCAGTAGTTAGCGTTTCCAAAGAAGTCAACCCCTCTACCCCTTGCGTATCACAGCGTTACGTTTCCTTCCTTCAACTCCAGGTGGTGTCAGGTTAACCCGCGTCGCCTGACCTCATCTCTCTGATCACACGGAGGTTAACCAATTAATCCAGGCGCCCAAGCACACAAGTGTTATACCCTGAGAAAATCACACCGTGACTAGACAACCTCAAAGATGGTGTGAAGCTCGGGGAAGGAAAGGAGGAAGAAGCAGTAAGAATCCGTAGTCACCGCAGAGCAACAGACTTTCGCCGTCGATCCTATCCCATACCCCGAGGCGGTTGTATGGTCTAACTTATCTAATCCTTGAAACTTATGATGATTGAGATTCTAAACAGACGTAGGATGAGATAGGATTATTTCCTCACGTCTCCTTTGTTCAATATCACGTAAATAAAAACAATACTGTCACGTGTATGTGGGAGTATAGACGAATTTTGGATTTGTGACTCGATTTATTGGCCACTTATATACACTATTCGTGACTACACTTCACAGTTCACTGTTTAACACAGACTAGTTTTCTAAGTCAGTTACAGTCTCCACTAGCCGTTGCTTGTTAGCGGCTTTCAACAACGGACGTTCCTCCTACTCTGGGTTCTAGAACTATCCCCGTGCCTCAGCTACCAACTTCTAAGAGCAACAGCTCACAACGGCTGAACTGAAGTTCTCTGAGTAACTCCCAGGCTGGCGGCCATCTGACACAAATCTCCTAGTCTGACTCTTAACTGAAATGCCAAATGACTTCCAATTTACTAGCTCCCTTCAGCTACGTAACGTCACTTCACTCAACTGAACTCTTCTTTATAACCACTTTGTGTGGACCGAATAGAAATAATCATTTCCTAACAATTCCTCTATTGTTATCGAGGTGTGTTTACTTTTGCATAGAATCGACTGTTCTTCTATTGTTGTGTGCTTGTTCATTTCCCCAGGGTTCTGTTTAATGAGTCGTTGCCTAGCATTGAACGTCTATTCTGGCTCCACCATTCGGCTTTCAGGGGTCATGTTACAAAATATTTTAAGTAAAAGTGGGTTGAATTCATTCAAAGTTCAAAAACAGGTGAAATGCAACAGATGGTCGCAAGCAAGTGGATTTTCTGCTGTAGAATCTAAAATTCGGACCCCAAAACATGTAGGAAATGCTGCACGTACTCATAAAATGCATCTTAAATTACTCTGTTTGATGGCAGACTTTTTAAAGGGCAATTAAAATGGCAGATTTGTTGGTCGTTAAAAGCGAACATACACCATATATAAACAGTGAACACTGACCTGCCGCAGCTCTGACTTGTTGCCAGGGCAATATGGAAATGCTTGCGCGTCAGTGACCTGGTAACGAGTGGAAACTGTCACATTACAGATATGTACTTGCTAACACACTGATCTCGGCGAAACCATCAATACATTACACCACACTGCGATGCGCTTCTCTTCTGCTAGAGAAGGAAAAGTACACACTTTGATACAGAGTGTGTACAGGTTCTGTTAGGACTGTGTTCATTAGAAATACAAGACGTGAATTATTTTCAAAATGTCACTCTTTTTATTCAATATAGTCTCCTTCTGAATCAATA